ATGAACTGGTAATAGTACCTACAGTGGCTTCATATAAAAAGACGGTACTCAGTCAGCACTATGATCTCTCAGGGTCATGCCAGCCTATTCTAAACATAAGGTTGGAAGCCTAAAAAACCTTGACGTAGAAGGACCAGGAACATCTTCCAGGGGTACCCATCTCACTGCCCGACAGCCCTCCCCCAAGCTGTTCTTCTCCCTTATTCCCCTGACATACTGGTCCTGCCCCCTTCCCCAGCCCCTTGGCATCACCAAGGGCTGAGTGACAGCTCCAGAGAGTCTGGGAGTTTCAAAAGAGGCCGCCTCCCACCCGTCAGGGCCCCATTAGAGCAACACCTCCAGCCGACCTCATAGGACACCTCCTTCCCAGCCAGACGGGGTCTTCAGACGGGTGTGGGAAGCAGGGCCAGGCTGCCTGTCCCAGCCCCTTGTAATTGGTAGCAGGGCCAGCCAGCCTGCTGCAGAAATGGGTGGATTGAGGCCCAGGAGACAGGGACAGACACACCCCCACCAGATGGGCCCCAAGCTCCTATTCTTCTGAGCAAGAGATCGGGAGACAGGCCCACAGATAGAGCTGTGCTCTCCCACAGTACTGGCCAGGGAAATTCACGCTGGCCTGGCCGTTGCAGAGCCCGGTGGCCCTCAGGGGTCCCACCTGTGCTCCAGAACCCTGTGCTTCCCCATACTCAGCCAGTGAGAAGCACTGTTGTAAGCCATCTGAGCCTGGGACATGAGACTAAGCCACTTCCAACATGGGCAGCTGGGCCAGGACCCTAGAAGACAGGGGCTTCAAGTAGGGCGTTGTGGACCAGGTGATAATCCAGGCTCAGGGATCTAGAAGCACCACTGGTACCAGTTCCCTCCTTCAGGGTATGTCGTGTTCCCCAGATCCCAGCCTGCCATTATGCAAAAGCGGTATGAGTGCCTTCCAGGAGTCAGGCCTCTGTCCCAGGGCCATGACCACTCTGTTAGCAACAGCTGGGAGTTGATGCCCAGGGAGGAAGCAAAGAAGGTGGCCCTGGGGGTCCTGAAAGCACTGCTGAGACATGGGGTACAACGGCAGAGATTTCAAAGAGGCCTCAGCTGCAGCGAATTCCTTCTAGTGGTCAGCCATGGGTGGGGATGAGGGACAGGGATAGGCACAGAGGCATAAGGAGAAGACACAAGAAGGAAGATGTCTGGCGATCACAGGAGCCTGCAACAGAAAAGGAGTTGACCAGAGTCAAAAGCAAAGCTGGAGGCAGTTGCCACACGGATGGACAAACACACTGAGATCCCTTCTTGGTGGACCCCAGGACTCCTTAAAGAGATCCCCGCAAAGGAACACTAGCCAAGTGAGTATAAGCATGCATGTGGAGGCCGTGCTGGTGGGTAGCAGGGCTGCACAGGCAGCCAGCAGCAGAGAGTCAGGCTGGTGCTGGGAGCAAGTCCACGGACTGGCTAAGATGGCCAAAGGGACAGAGATGGTGCTGGACTGAGAGATGAGGTATGCATGCATGCATGCATACATACATACATATGCATATGTATATATATGTATATGCACATGTACATGTAATTGACTTTTATTTTATGTACATTGGTGTTTTCCCTGCATGGATGTCTATGTGAGAGTGTTGGATCCTAGAGTTACAGACGGCTGTGACCTGCCATGTGGGTGCTGGGAATTGAATCCAGGTCCTCTGGAAAAGCAGTCTGGGCTCTTAACCGCTGAGCCATCGCTCCAGCCCCAAGAGAATGAATGGGCTTTGTGGGAAGCCTGGGAGGCCAACAGAACTCACAACCTGCCTCTGCAGAGGAGAAAACCACCTTACACGACTAGAGATCTCAACATCATGGACTTCTACTGGATCCAAGCCAGCCACCCCTCATCCTGTGCTGACCACAGGTTTAACTCATTTCTACCGAATCAGCACCGAGACCACACTACTTCCAGCCTGCAAGGACAGCAGGTGGCCACAGGAAGGCCCTGTTCTAAGTGTCCCTAGAGAAGGCCAGCTAGGGAAAGAGAGCTCAGGGTCAGGCTGCCTCCCATTCCACCCACCACCTAATCTGTCTAGCAAAGGAATCGAGGAACAGCAGACCTTCAGCCAGGGTGGGTCTGAACCCAGATTGGTGAAACCCAGCCATGATGCAGCGCTGAAACTCCACACAGCAGCAGGTCAGGCCGGATGCCTGTGGCTAGCTGGAGGTGCGGTGCCACCCTGCATCAGAGGACAGGAGGCCAATGGATAAGAGAAGAGACCGCGAAGTATCCATTCCCCAAGCGGCAGAGGAAGCGGATGCTCGACGCGCCCCCATCGTGGCAGGCATCTGACTCTCATATCTACCTGCCTGGCATCACCAACCCCATCTCACCAGTGAGAAAACAGAGGAACAGCGAGAAAAAGTGACTAACACAAGGACGCCGGCTACCCTAGAGTTGCCCGCTGACCCCGTCCACCCTCGCTGCCTACCACCCAAGGTGGGAGGACGGCCATGACAGGCTAATGACCAGCATTTCTGGACCACTGGGGACCAACAGCGAGCCATTTCACGGCAGAAACAGGCTCTGCTCCATGTGGGTCCCCTACAGTAGGGGGAATGGGTGGCCTGATGATCCCTTCCTCTGGCCACTGATCAGATGGGGCTGACTTGCAAGTCAAACTCAGTCCCCACTCTGGTTCTACACATGCCGGGAAAGCTTGAGCAGGGGCTGCTGTGACAGGGGCCTGCTCAGTGACCCTTCTGCCTGCTCCAGGAAAACCAAGATCATTCCCCAGTTGGGTTAAGCACCAACTAAGATAACCAGCAGGGGCAGGTGGCTTATCGGCTTAGTATGAAGGACCCTGCAGTTTTGTCTTCTAGGTCAGAAGGAATGAGAGGCCACACCAAAGGACAGCCCACCTTACCACTCAGGTGGACCCAAGCAATGGTGGGGTGGCAAGGATCCACCATCCTGGTACAGCTCTCTGTACATAGCCAAGACTCAGGCCAGTGAAGGACTCAGCTGGTCAGGCTTACGGGGAAGTTCCATGTCACCCAGCCATCCAGGGTGGGTCCAAAGACAGCAGTCACACCGCACAGGGACCTCTGAGGGAAACTGACTCTCCAGCCGGCAGGGAGGCCACCACCATTAGCGCCCCCACAGCAGAGCCCCTGTTCTCTGCTTGGACCCAAGTTGGCATCCTGACCCCCATTCTCACCCTCAAGCACGGTGGCCCACTACCCTTGCAGCGCACAGGCGAGAACTGGACAGGGAGGACTTGACCCAGGACAGCACAGCCCCCAGCCTCTGACCATACACTGTCAAAGAAATAGTAACAAGCTGGGTAGTGGTGGCGCACGCCTTTAATCCCAGTACTCGGGAGGCAGAGGCAGGTGGACCTCTGTGAGTTCGAGGCCAGCCTGGTCTACAAGAGCTAGTTCCAGGACAGGCTCCTGGAACCCTGTCTCGAAAAAAAAAAAAAAAAAGAAAGAAAGAAAAAAGAAAAAAAAGAGAGACAGTAACAAATTGTAAGAGTGCTCACAAGTCCTTCAGATAGGGTCAAGCTGGACCTCTGCCCTCCTTCAGAAGAGGTGCCTTGGCCTGCGTGCCCCACCCCCCACTGTGTCCACCTCCACTCGCTAAAGCTCCAGGACCAAGCCCTAGCATGGAGGCCTTTACAGAGCCACTTCCAACCCTGGAAATCGGTCACTAGGACATAAGTACTTCTAGCTCCCACCATGGGCGACTTTCTGCAGCCCCTCCCCACACAGACACCTGGAACAGGGAGCCCCAGCATGCAAGGTACTCTAGAGAAATGAAGAGACCTCAAGCCTGAACTTCCTGCCGTGCGCCTTGCTTCAGACTTCCTCTGAAGCCCAACCCTCGTCGCTGCGGTCTCTCCGCTCTCCAAGACAATAACACATTCCAGGCCAGACTCAGTATCTTTCTACATTTTTGTGTGGTTTGTTTTTTCTTGTTTCTGTTTTTTTTTTTGTTTTGTTTTGTTTTGTTTTTTAACAAAACTCACCCAAACATTAAATACTTAAATTTTAATGTGTCCATTCACACCCAGGCTGAGATCTCCTGAGCAACAACAAACGACCCATGCCCTGGGGCCGGGCGTCTAGACCGACCCTCACATCGCATCTAGAGCTGAGAGCTGGTGGTAACTCATGGTGACACAGAGCCTCTAGTCAGGGCCAGTCCATACTGTGGCCTCTAGTCCAAGCCTTTGAATCTTTCTTGCCCCACATTCAGACACCATGCCACCCTCTCCCAGCGGCTGGCCAGGGAGACACTCCTGTGTCTGTCCTTGAACAGGGAAGAGGCACCTGTTTCATCCTGTGCCGGGTGTATGGGACCCCCTCCAAGCAGCCCACCTTGATCCTGGGGCCTTGAAAGAGAGGGAAGGAGGGGAAGGAGTTGTTCTCATTTTCTGAGGCATCTTGGCTTTCTGTCTCTTTTGTACATATCACTTTTAGAGTATTTGTTTAAAATTGTTCCCGCTTATTTTTGGTGCTGTGGATGGAACCCCGTGCCTCGGGCACGCTAAACAAGTACTCGGCCCCTGAGTGACACCCCAGGCCTCACATTCAGAATTACTTTTGGTTGCTTTGTTTAGCAAGTTTCCTTGATAATATTTATTTTCTGTGAGAAAAATGAAACGTAATTGTAAATGTAAAATCACAATCTCAAAAGAAACACGGGCATTTAAGAGCATGCAGTTCCCAGAACTGCAGGTAACAGGGCCAAGTGAGCAGCATCACTGCCCAAGATTCTGGCAGCACCGTTTTGCCAGACCGGGAGAAGCCAGGGCCAAACCGTCTGGGTTTCCCAGTGAGGAGCCGCCCTCCCAACTGTCTGCCTAGGAAACGCGGAGGGGCCCCTTCTCCCCACCAGCCAGCCCAGCCCACCAGCAGTCAGGCCTGGGCTCACCTCCTTCCCACAGGCCTGGGACCCAAGGCCTGTCCTGCTGTCCCCTCAGGCCTGGGCGAAAGAACAGATGCCGTCCCATGCCCGAATCACACTTTACCTGGCTCTTCTGGGGCACTGAAGCCGCCCAGCCAAGCTCGGTGCCTGCAGGAAGGTGGCTGGGCCCTCGGTACCCTTGCTCCGAAGGCGTCCAGCCTCACACATGGGAAGGCTCCCTCCACCGGCTACCTAATGAGAGTGAGTCACATCTGGGGCCCACCACTTCCTGCTCGGCAGTGGTAACGGCAGAGGGCTAGCTAAGGCTGGGCCCTCAGCTCGGCTCAGCTCCTGCTGTGGTGGGGGTGTGAGGAGGGCCCCCTCTCTCAGCCTGTGAGCCCGCCACAGGAGTGGGGGAGCTGCCAGGCCAGGCTCCCAGCTCCAATGACTTCATGGAAATTTGAAGCTTGAAGCTGGAACAAATTTTTTTAAAAAAAAAAAAAATTATAAAACAAGAAGTGAAAATCTCCATTAGAAGCCCCAAGACGACGGCTCCAACCAGAGAGCAGATGCATCCTCACTGAGCAATTAAAGCTGACAGCCTGGCACGAGCCTCCAGCTCAGCCACTCCCAGACAGGCCCCTTCCCTCCCTGGAATCATTCCACGGCAGTGATGTGGTAGCCTTGGGTACCCGTCTGAGTGGTCACAGATCTTTTTGCACTCCACATCTGTCCCCAGTAGGAGCTAGGGCAGAAGTAAGCTCCAGGCTCAGCCTTAGAATTCTGGTTCCAAACCAGCAGAGACCCTGCCTGAAGACTCTCTGCAGCCATGGTTATCATGAGCCCAGGATTCTGGCTTCCCTTCCATGGTGCCAGGCCTCACGTTCCCCTACGGTCACAGGAAGCTTAGTAGAAACACAGCACACTGCAAAGGGTCAGGAGGCAATGTGAAGGAGCCTCCTGACACAGAGAGAGCGCCCACCTCGTCCGCGGGCAGTGCCTGCGTGGGACCTAGAGTACTGGGGTTCTTTCCTACCTTTTTCTCTAGCCAACCCCCCAACTCCATGTGAGCTTCTCAAAGCAAGGCATGTCTCCCCCTCCCACAGGGTGGGACATTCCTGATGTAGCCCCCAGCCTCTATCCTTTTCCCCTTAAGACTGTCTTCCCACAGGTTACGTCCCCGCTGAGAGCTACATCCTTTTGTGCACAGCATCCAGAACACACTGACCAAGTACCAGAACATGGATGGAATTTCAGAACCGGTCCCTGTGCTGGGGGATACAAGGTGGTCTACAGGTCTGCTCTCGAGTCACACAGGACTCTGGATTGTCACAGAAGCTACAGGAGGGCAGAGGGAACCTCACAGAGAAGCCAGACATTGGTGCACCCTTCACCGAACAACTATCTCCCAGGCATGGGTGCGCTGAGGCGAAGAAGAAACCGGTGTCACCAAGGAAGAGAAAAGGCAGACCTCTGCAACACACACAACTGGAAATGAGTCCTGAAGACCATACAAGGATCACCCACAGAGCCAGCAAAGACGGCTCAGCGGGACAAGGAGCCTGCCGCCAAGCCTAGCAGCCTGAGTTCAACCATGGAAACGCACATGGTAGGAAGAGAGAACCAGCTCCCACAGGCTGTCTTCTGACCTCCGTACGTATGCAGTGGCGTACACATGTGAACCCACACACTAAATAAAAATGTAATAAAACGTTTAAAAAATAGGTTACAAATCAGTAACAAAAAGACAAATGGCCAGGTGTGGTGGCACATGCTTTTAATCCCAGCACTTGAGAGGCAGGGGCAGGTTGAGCTTCATGAGTTCAAAGCCAGCCTAGCCTACAGAGTGAGTTCTAGGCCAGTCAGGACTACACAGTGAGACCCTGTCACACATAGTAATAATAATAATAATAATAATAAATAATAAAAAAGACATTGGTCCAATTAAAAGACAGGCACCAGCCAAGTCTTTTATGGGACACACTTTTAGTCCTAGCTACTCAGGGGACTGAGGCAGGAGGATTGCTTGAGCTCAGGAGTTTCAAGTCAGCCTGAGCAACACCGTAAGACCCTGTCACAAGCAAACAATAATAATAAATAAAATAGACAAAAGATTAAGCAGGTGTTTCAACAAAGATGCTACTTAAACAACCAATAAGTCCCTAAAAGAATGCTTAGTAGCATGAAGTAGGAGAAAATTAAAGTCCTACAGATTCTGCTGTACCACAAGGTCAGTTGAACTTAAAGGAAAATATCGAGTGTTGACAAGAACGTGGGGCCAGGCCAGCTCTCGATCCTACTGACAGGAAAGGAAACACTGGAGAGCTGCTGTGTGTGCACACTAGACTCTTCCCCGTGCCTCCACACTCAGGTGTTTGCACAAGAAATGTGCGGCTTTAACCGTGATTGGCAAATTGGAAACAGCCTGCCTGCCACAACAGTGACGCAAGCCTTCGCGGACCTGTACAACACAAGCCACTCCACAGTAAGAAGGCGGGCCACTGATCGAAGTAACCACACCATGAACCAAGACGGACCGAGTGAGAACCTTGGGGCTCCCTGGGCAATGCTTCTAGGGTGCCTGTTGATTAGAGGACCCAAGGGACCCAAGGGACCTTCTGGGAGCTGCCTCTCCCTCCGCTGTTAGCTACCCTGGCATACAGAAGTAACTCTTCCCCTGCCCCCTTCAAACCAGAGTCCTTGACTGAATTACACATCTTTTTCTCGTAGTCACTGATTAATCCCTGGGCGTCCGTTTATTCTGGAGGCTTGGTGCTGGGCACTATAAGACTCACAGGCCTGGCTTACACAGGACAAGATTCGAGGGAGGCCCAACAAAAAGCGGATGGCGCCAGCATGAGACGTGGGGCCCAGCCTGGCGCTGGTGAGCAGCAGAGTGTGTTGGGGTTGGATCCACCCATCCGACAGGGAAGGCCCATGGACCTGGGAGTTCTCAGGCTAATGGAGGAGGAGCCCTCTGCCCTGATGATGCTAACTCTGAAAGGTTTCCCCAGAGGCACCGGGGAAAGCATACAGAAACCCGGTCGTCGGAGAGGGTCCTAGCTGTGAGAGAGAGGAGAGTCACAAGGGCTGGACCATCCAGCGATGGCAGGAGATGAATGATAACAAGCCCAGAAATGCCTCACGCTCTCCGCTGGCCTCTTGCCTATCTGCCCTTGAAGAGCGTGACAACCCCAGCACACTTGACTCCCTCACCCCACACCTCACCCTCCCCTGAGGTCCTCTCAGCACTGAAGTCGGTGACTCCTGTGGTCACATCTGACACTTGGCTGTGTTCTGGGTAACATGCTGACCTCACAGGCACAGTTCACTAAATCCCCCATCGTCCAGCCCCACTGCCCTCCTCAGAGGAGGATGTCGGTTTAGAGGGTACAGCACTTGCCAGTATACACAGTTTCGAGAAGCAAGACTGGAAATCAGGGTTCCCTCTGCCTGACTCCACTGTACCTCAACTGCTTCCTGGGAGTAAGGCAGGAACTTCTTAGGACAGATAAGTCCTGAGGACCTCCAAGTCCTGACCCACAGGGCTCCCAAGCCTTCTGCAAGGATGCTCCGTCTTCCCCCAGTTCCCTATCTTCCTGCAGCTGCCCCGGAATCTGATCTCCTCGGGCCTGAAAGCAGAAGACAGGCAGGTGTTCCACCACAAAGCCTTTCTTTCGGGTCTCCACCGAGCCTCCTCTCCAGAGTCAGAGACACAAAACTGATTTAGATGCTTGGCCAGGATTTGGCATGGTGAAGGCACTCACTCTAGAAACTGGGCACACAGACCCAGAAAGCTCCACTGTGAGACCTGGGGTCCCAAACTCAGGAAAATAATCTCACCCATGCCAGGAAGTGTTTGGTCTCTACAGAAAGGGGTCCCAAGGTGAAGCTGGAGCTACATGCTGGGTAGGCAGGGACAAACAAGGCACAACTGTCAGTCAGACAACCAACCAATAAGACTGAGTGCTGAGCAAACAGCACGACCCAGTTTGACAAGCCAGATGTGGAGCCCCGCCCCCATGGAGAAACCCCATAGCACCCCACTGCCTCCTAAACCCTGGGCAGCTTCCACAGGGGCAGGAAAGAAGTGAGGAGAGAAACCGTGCTCACTCTGTCCACGAGCCTCGCAACCACCATCTTCCTCCTCTGCCTCGGGGGCTCAGGACCCTCATTGGGCTGACCACAGTCTGAGCTGGACACTCTCACCAGTCCAGTTCCCTGACCTGGGGCGATGAAGCTCTACAGACGGAGCTTCCGTGTGTGACCTCACCCAAGCCACAGCATTCCAGTGAGCTGCAGTAAAGTCAAGGCAATTCTGCATTACTGGCTAAGCATCTGTGAGGGCTTAGGTTCACAGTCAGTTAAAGAGACAGGCAGGGGTGCTGGCTGGGGTTATCCTTGCAGTCCCAATCCTGAGAGCCTGGTTCTACTTCCGGCCTACTCTCCTCACAGACTTTACATGGCTGTCCTGTGCCTCAGGATCAAGTCTTCTTTCTCGGCCCGTCAGACCCCAACACTTGGCCCAATTCCTTTCTCCACCCTGTCTACCTCATACTACCACCCAACTGCCTCATTCTTCCAGCCCCTGCTCAGGCCTTTTCATTTCCTGGTCATGTCAAAATACCGTGAATCCAGTCAAGTCAGGTCTAGCAAGCCTCCCTCCGGGCCCCAGACCCATGCCACACGTGTCCCGCCACAGAGAACCAGCAGTGTTAACTTGTGCAGCTCCCCGATCTGTGCTGAGGGTAAGCAGCCCCAGGTATACTTGTGACCAATGAGAGCCAAGGAAGGGGAAAGCATGGGACTTTTAGGTGGACCACTGTGATCCTGTACGGGAGCAGGGCTCTACTTTCGTAAGGCCGTTGGCACATGAGCCTCCAGGGACCCTGCTTCCTAGGATTCATATAACTGACATAGCCCCAACTCCTTATGTGACCAATGGAAAACAAACCAAAACAAACAAACAAACAAAAAACAAAAACAAAAAACCATGGGGCTAGAGAGATGACTCAGCTGTTAAGGGTACCAAACTGCTCTTCCAGAGGACGGGGTTCAATTCCCAGCACCCACATGGCAGCTCACAACTGTAACTCCAAGATCTGACACCTTCGCACAGACACACATGCAGACAAACACCAATGCACATTAAATAAAAATAAGTAAATTATAACGAAAAGAAGAAAGAAAGAAGAAGAAAGAAAGAAGGAAAGAAAGAAAGAAAGAAAGAAAGAAAGAAAGAAAGAAAGAAAGAAAGAAAAAGAATTACTGAGATCATGTGACTTCTGAAGTCATGAAAGACGCCAAGGCTTCTCTCCTGGATGAGCCCCTCTAGGGGAAGCCATTTTAGGACCAGATCCCCAATCCTCTCACAGGCTTGCAGCTCCACAAGCAGTCTGGCTACAACCTCAGCTGA